ACGGAATGAGAGTTATTCCCATCATGATCGGCGTGCTTTGAACAGTGAGGAAGAACATTACAAAAACACCTGAAAATATGCAATTCGAATAAAACCATTGAGGATACTTTTTGACACCATTATTCAACCAATTTACTTCTTCTGTGTGCCATGTTCCTTCAAGACGTTGGTGATGATGGCTCTCCATAATTTCCTCTGCCCCGTAGCTCTGTTGCCATCTCTCTCAAACCCTGCTCCACCATTCATTCACTTATGCTCACCAGGTAGGTTATGCGTTACTTTCGTCTGTGTCTCTTACTTTCAATCTTTCCAAGTTCCCTTTCCTCATTATGTGCCCCAAATATTTCTACTGTCTCTTCTGTTAAGTAGAAATGTCCATTTTGCTTCCATTGTTTCTAAAACTTCATTGTTCCTCACCCAAGGTCCAAAATCCATTTAATGTAGAGATACTAAATGAAGTTTTTAATGACATAAACGAACGGGGTAATAACTACATCTTATGAGGATATGTAGATTAGAAACCGTGTGACAGTAGACATGAAGAAATTAAGATTGTAGTGATTGGGGAAGCATCCTCTTGGGAGCCTGTCTTACAAAGTGAAGCATGTGTCTGTGTCGAACTTACTTCTTACAAAGAAATTTGAAGTGAATTTGAATGAGTTTATGCCATATATGTGCCATAACAACTTTAAAGGTCTGAATTGGTGGAACTAAGAAATGCAGCTCGTTTGAACGCTTAGAAAATAGCAATTGAATAGCGAGAGGCTAAAAACGTTTCATCTGTGGGGAAATGCGTTGCAGATTGGACAAATCACTCACAAGGTCGGGTACAAGCTTTTCAACCCTGTCATAGCAGGACGGTGAGTGTACTGGGCAACACTAGATTTGTTTTGGAGGTATCGTTAAGAGCTTTGTTATGGATGTACCGTTACTAGATTTGTTTTGGAGGTATCCTTACGAGTTTTGATTCGGACAGAAGTTTACATTTCTTTTGGATGTACCGTTACTAGATTTGTTTGGAGATATCCTTTAGATCTATATTTTTTATGTAATGCTGATAGATTTGTTTGGGAGTAATCATTATTAGATCTGCTCCGGAGGTATCGTGAAAACATTGTTTTGGAGGTGTCATTATTCGCTTTATTTTGCAGGTAACACTAAGAGCCTTTTTTGCGGGGAAGTATCTTTAGTATATTTTTGTGAAGATACACAGTGGGGGAAACAAATATTCGTACACACACAAATTTTTTATTTATTGTATTTCTATCTAATGAATAAACAAATTTTTCTTATAATTAACTTTACACAGATGCATAAGTAAATATGCATAGAAAAGAGAAAGATTTTGATTTAATAGAAATAAATCCCATTTATCCATTTTAATGTGTGAAAAAAGAATACATAATCTTCATTTAATACTTTGTATAGTTTTTCACCCAATAAAACGGATAAATGCGATTTAAATCATTTTTTTCTGTTTCCTATGCATATTTAGTTAATATGTATTTGTGTACAGCTACATATAAAGTATGTTTATACATTAGTTGGAAATACAATAAAGTAAACATTTCTGTCTACGAATATTTGTTCGGTCCCCACTATATATTTGCGGTCACTTACCGTAATCCCCAATGCATAATACGCATGTTTTTCTAAAAAATAATAAGCAAAATTAGGAGTGAGTATTATGTACAGCTACAAAAATTCTTTAAAAAATTTCCGTTTCATAGGTCGATTTCAATTGCGAAATGACTACTCGGCACAAACATACGACAATTTGACATTCGACGATTGTGACCTCCATGAGGATGTCAAATAAGAATTATAATAAAACTAAATAATAGAATAATATTATTCTTTGTTTAAAACCATTTTTTTTAATAAGAGTAGAAAACGCCGGCCGTAATGAAATTGGAGAGGTACAATTTATAGAAGTTGATTACCAAACAAGGCCTGCGTATTATGCGTGCGTAGAAGCATTTTCCCACACTTTCAGTACAATTTTAGATGTTCATATTACAGAAGAAGGTGTATTATACATGGGGAAATACGGTAATTCCAAATGAAAATCGTAGGCTAAATCAGTGAGGACAGAATGAATTATATATTTACAAAAAGTAAATCAATATTGGTTCAAAATCTGATTGCATGCGAATGATGTTTTCTTTTTATTCCTTTCGGTCTTACGTCTCCTGACCTTCTTTAATTGCCTTCATTGTGACCTCGTTAAATACACCCTTTCTGGAACTGAGTGACTCTAAACTGATTAAAGAAAATGCAGCACGTATCTATATCCGGAGCAAAGTAGCAATGTCATTATATATACATATAATTAACCCACAGAGTTTTAATTTATTTTATTTTAATCTTCTTATTCGGTTGATTAGGAAGATGAAATCGACAAATTTCTACAGTTCTTCATGTATTTAAGCACACATGTAAGTTTTTAATAAGTGCTTATTTCGTTATAGAAATCCGGCATTCGGCAAAAGGTCAATACTCCAATGCCCAAAACCACAAGAATTCTTGAGCCAAATTTGCAGCTTAAGGCAATTATTAAAGATATTCTAGATTTAGAATATCCGAGTCAAGTACGATTTTCTGATCACAGTTTATGCATGTCCATAAGAAATAACATATCTCTCTTTCACTCACTCTATATATAAGTCTCTCTCTCTCTCTCTCTCTCTCTCTCTCTCCATAGATAGATAGATAGATAGATAGATAGATAGATAGATAGAAAGAATCAGAATGAGATAGATAGATAAATAGATAGATAGATAGATACACACACACACACACGTGTATATAGAGACAGAGAGTGGTGAATAGATAGACAGATAGATAGATAGATAGACACTCATATACATATATATATATATATATATATATATATATATATATATATATATAGAGAGAGAGAGAGAGAGGTGGGGGGATAGATAGATAGATAGATAGATAGATAGATAGATAGATAGATAGATAGATAGATAGATAGATAGATAGATAGATAGACAGATACACACATATATACAGAGAGATTGGTTAATAGATAGAGATAGATAGATAGATAGATAGATAGATAGATGATACACACACACACACATATATATATATATATATATATATATATATATATATAGAGAGAGAGAGAGAGAGAGAGAGAGAGGAATAGATAGATAGATAGATAGATAGATAGATAGATAGATAGATAGATAGATAGATAGATAGACACACACACATATATATACAGAGATTGGTTAATAGATAGATAGATAGATAGATAGATAGATAGATAGATAGATACACACACACTCATATATATATATATATATATATATATATATATATATATATATAGAGAGAGAGAGAGAGAGAGAGAGAGAGGGATAGAGGGATAGATAGATAGATAGATAGATAGATAGATAGATAGATAGATAGATAGATAGATAGATTACGTGAAATTACGTCATTTGAAAAGATAAAAATCCTAGATTACTTATGCAGAAATATGGCTAATGTAAATGCCAATTATATGCTATGTACAAACTATGTTTGCTTATTTTGAATGATTTTACTTTTACTGACTTCAAAAGCAAACTTTTATCTTACATGCAACTACAGAATTAATTTTCTAAATAAAATCCTAGATTACTCATACAGAAAATAAAGCCAATACTTTTACCAGAATAAATAAATATGGTCGTCATTTTATTAATTTACGTGTTAGTTTTCATTGGATAGTATTACATTTTATGATTTAAAATGCAGATTTGTTTTCATACACGTTACAAAAGAATTAATTGTATCGATAAAAATCCTAGATGACTTATCCCGAAAGTATAAACAAGACAATTTCTAAATTAATTATAATGGAAGTTGATGTCGGTTAAAATCGTGTCATATTGCAATGGATAATGAAACTGTTAATAGAAAGAAAAAAAAACAGCTTAAAAAAAAGAATTATACAAAAGTTAGAAAATAGGTTCGCGTATAATCCTCAATCGCTATGTAATTATAAGTTACAATTTCATGGAAAGTTTTCACTGTATAATAATACATAATATAGGATTATTAATTATATATGGTCTTTTGAACAGTAGAGATTTACCCTTTGTTTCTTGTTTAGAATTATACTTCCGGTTCCTTCTAAAGTCGACTTTAACTCCATACTTCTATCGTCACTGCCTTAACTCTGAACTTTTATTCACTATTTTTTATCAATAGTAATAGATAGAATCACCTATTGTCCGGTTTACACACCTCTCCGGACGTTTCAATAGGAGGTGAGGTTTATCTCTCGTTTCTTGTTAAGGATTAGGTTTCCAGTTCCTTCATAATATTTTCATTTTCTTTCACTTCCAGAAGCCGCTGTCATCGTAGTGGCATTATTTCATTGCTTGAGGTGAATTGATTAAAAAATAAATAGATAAAATAACCGTTATTTCAAATGCATTTTTCATAATTAGACAGCAAACAAATACGTTCTCCATCTAAGGAAATGACGCATATATAAACAGAGAAAAAGATTACATAAAATTTCAAATTAAAATTATAAATATTATATGAAAGAAATTAACATTAATATTAACTTTTTTTTTCTAGTTACTGACTTTAATTTTAAATTTTAAATATAATTTCAAAAGTGAAATCAAAGCAAAATATTATTCGGAAGGGAGATAAGGTGTTTTTATTGTCTGTTACTCAAAAAATACAAACAGTTTTCCGTTATATTTAATCAACATGAAATGTTAACGACGCCTTTGTTCCTCAGCATGTTTTATCCAATTCTTCCAATAATTAATTGGAAATTCAAGTTTTTTCTCTTTCTATAAGGAAGAGAATGGCTCAGGTCTTAAGAATATCAAATATGGCGATGGTTTTTCAAAAGATCACATTCTAGAATTATGTGTATCTTTTTTATTTCGTTTTTTCTTCTTTTTAATTGTGCCGTTTCACTGTCAAAACATTCCTTTAGAATTTTAAAATTTTTCAGAAGAATGTTAAATTTATCTATCTATCTAACTCTCTCTCTCTCCCTCTCTATCTTTCTTTCTCCCTCTCTGTCTACATATATATATATATATATATATATATATATATATTAAAAAGAAGAGAAGAGAGGTGCCGCAAACGTTTTTGGTTATAATGTGGATTTATTTAGAAAAAAATATTATGCTTTGTTTTACATAATTTTACTACGACACGTGTTTCTGGTCTCGCGACCGTCTTCAGGTAAAAGTGGAGATTTCTACATATTATTAAAAATAATTAATTTTTCTTCATGTTCAATGTGAAATATTCTCGATATGAGACATTCTCTGTTTGTGTGTTGGTAATCCGAATTTCTTTCGAGAATTGTCAATGAAGAGTTCTGCGCGAAGGGTCATAAAACAATTAAGGTTGGTCCAGCGAGTAGTTATCGGCATTTTATTTTTTAATGTTTTAGTGACCCCTATGTACTCTTGGATCTGTTTCCATTTTGGTGTGTTCCTGTCAGCATGCGTGTATGCTATATTTAAGGAATAAAGTTCTCAATAACAGAGCGAACGTAAATATAAAAGTGAACATTGAAGCCAACATTCAGAGGCGACAGACTGTTTAAACGCGTTTAGATGAGACAGTCAGTTGCCTGAGTTTTAACTTCGATGTTCATTTTTATATATATGGTGTGATCTTAACCTGAACCGTTATCTTTCACACATATCCACAAAAATTATCTCTGCTACTCTGTAACCCTCGACTTCGAGTGACTCACGTGCCTTGTATAGGGTGAACACCATGGTAAAAAACAAAACAACTCTCTTCTTCGAGATTTTTTAAATATATCTCTCTAGTTCTTCTGCTATAACTTAACCCATCTTTAAAAAGCTTTTTCTATTTTTTATTCTACTGTTTTTTTTTTTTACATTTTTTTCTTTTTCTTCTCCCTTTCTATTAAAACTGCCTTATTTATTCAGGCATTCGTTCTTCTTCTTCTTTTTTTATCATTCATTCAGTCACCCCATCATTCTTTTTTAACTTCATCACATCTCAGATATTTTTTATTCTTTTTCTTCTATTCCAAACAAATTTTCATTCATTCTCTTTTTCTTTATAAATCCACTCCTTACCTATATTTTTTCATATTTTTCATACCTCATTTAAATGTTTTTATTGATTATTTGATTTTTTTACAGCCCATTGCACGTTATTCAAAACCAGAAAATATTTTTAAATTTTATTTTTTTGTTGAGATAATATTGATTTACTGATACAAGTCCTACTAATAAACCAATGACTGGGAGGAGGAAATCATACTTTTCTCAAGTGTATTTGCGTGTGAGTGAGTATAATGAACCTGTCTCAAATTGGAATTCGCCTCTTCGTTAACCACACACTACCCATACATCTATAGCTTACAGCATCTGGTATTCTCAAGCGGCTACCCATCTAGGTACTGACTAGGCTCAATGTTGCTTAACTTCTGTGAACGCACAGGGACTGATGTTTCTGCATGATAAAACCGTAAGCCGCAACATGTTTTATCATTCGGCATTTCCTTCGCTTACTGATTATTCAATCATTAATTCATTCTTCTTCTTCTTCTTCTTCTTCTTCTTCTTCTTCTTCTTCTTCTTCTTCTTCTTCAAGATACCTCACGTACTTTCTTTTTCATTCATTCATTCTTTTTTCTCGTCTTCTTTTGTTCTTCTTTTTCTTCTTTTTTAACATGACTGACGACCCTTCTTCTTTATTCATTCTTATTCTTCTCTTCTTTTTCCTTTTTTTGCTTATTCTCCTTCATTCATTCATTCTTCTTCGACGTACCTCACGCACCTTCTTCATTCATTCATTCTTTTTCTTCTTTTGTTCAACATGCCTCACGCCCCTATTCAATTATTCATTTTTCTACTTTGTCGTTTTCTTCTTCTTCTTCTTCTTCTTCTTCTTCTTCTTCTTCTTCTTCTTCTTCTTCTTCTTCTTCAACGTAGTTCTCACACTTTCTGCTAAATTCATTATTTTTGTACTTGTTCTTTTCTTTTTCTTCTTAACCATGCCTCCCGCTGTTTATTCTTCATTCATTAATTCTTCTTCTTTTCAACGTTCCGCACGCAATTTCATTCATTCATTTACTTATTCTTCTTTTTCTTTTTTTTATTCGTCTTTTTCTTCACACCATTCGCTCTTTACTTCTCTTCCGCAATTCAACTATTCTTTCTTGTTTACTTAAAACTTTACTTTCTTCTTTTTTTTTCAGTCTCTTTCTTTTCCAGCTTTCTACATATTCATGCAACTGCACCGAATTAGGACCTGGTTTAAAATGTTGTACTTCCTGATCCAACTTCCATCTTTCCCAATCAGCAATCACATCCGCTGCACTTTTTTCGCTCCAACCACTGAAGGACACGTTTTTTTTCTACCTGTCATCTTACAGAGATTGTTATTCCACGTAAACATTCACAATACTTACTCGCCTTTTATGTGTATATTTGATTTGATTTGTCTGTTTAACGGCATATCAACACTTTATGGGTCATTTGATATCGAAATTTGCTTGGGAAATGAAGTAATAAAAATATGATCAATGTTCTTTTGCTTTTACAATTGAATACATAATACATGTTACTCAGCTCCTGTACATTTGTGAGGATATAATAACCTTTAACTACAGATAAATTTCTTTTCGGTAATTTCACTACAAATAGCTATTGTTAGTATTTTTATATAACATGTATGTCTTGCGTTTTTACTATAAACATATATTTTTATACTTTCATAGTGTTGTATTTTTGTTGAGTCGGGTTTAATATTTGTCCACAGATGGGTCCCCCAACAGGTGCTACCATCCCGGGGGAGGGTTGACCTAGCCTCGTTTTCATCTGTGATGAGGATTTCCCAGCATCCTGTGCGATATATGAGGACATATATTGCATAAAAGTTCAGGAAGCTTTTCTTTGTTTCTAGCGAATTTTTCAGTTTCTGAATACATTGCATAACATTTGAAAAGCATCTTTTGCCATCCGAATGCGTCTTCAGATTCTAGTCCAGCACTTTTTTCCGGAAAAGAAAGGTTTACTTTTATATATATGGAAAATGAAGTTCTCATCTCGAGGTATTTGTTAAAATATGACGAAATGGCCAAGCAACAGAATTTTCATAGGTGAAATTTTTTTTCAATGTGCTTGAGGATTTTCGGCTCCCAATCGTGGTTAAAAATGACAAAAAATATATTAAATTGCAGTTCAGCAATTTGTCTTTCTTTCTGTTGCTTCAAGTCTTCTCTTCATCTGTCCTGATATTATGCAGCATTCACTAACATATAGGAGTACCAATATTACATAACAGTTCAGCACTCTTTTCTTTGTTTCTGTTGCATTAAGAAACTTCTTCATCAGTGAGGAGGACTGATATAACATAAACTTTCTGCACTCGTTTTTTTTTCATTTTTTGCTTCGATTCTCTTCCTCAGCTGTGATGTGATTGTTCAGTATCCACTGTCATATAAGAGAACTGATGTTACATAACAGTTCAGTACTCTTTTCTGTTGCTTTAATTCTAATCTTCATCTGTGATGTTATTGTTCAGTATCTACTGTCATATGAGAAGACTGATATTACATCAGGTTTCAGTACTCCTTTCTGTTGCTACAATTCTCTTCTTCATATGTGAGGTAATTGGTTAGTGTACTCTATCATATATTGGGACTGACATTACATAAGCGTTTAGTACTTCTTTCTTTGTTTCTTTTGCTTCAATCCTCTTCATCTGCGAGAGGTGATTGTTCAGTATCCACTGTCATATATGAGGACTGATATTGCATAATTGTTCAGTAATCCTTTCTGTTGCTTCAATTCACTTCTTCATCTGCGAGGATATTGTTCAATACCTACTGTCATAAATATTACATAAGAGTTCAAAATTTTGGTTAAAAATTAGGCAATGTATTATATAAAAAATGGTTTTATTTAGATGGTTTATTTTAGCAGTTAACGTTGTTTCAGAAAAGTGGAACGATTATCTAAATTTACCTTGTCTCTCTAATGTAACCGTTAAACAACAAGTGCCGTACCCGAAGCAACACAATTAGACTAAAAGGCGAAAAGGTTAAAGGTGCGTCCTAATGCTTGCAGCAAAAGTGGGTAGACTCGGTATTTTTACATTCAACTGCATATTAAATCTGACTTTGTGTTTTATTTCTTGAGACAAATGAAATGAAACAACATTGTGAAAGAAACAACTGAAATGTCTGCTACCTCAGCTTTTATTTTTTTAACCGATGTGGTAGTCGAAATTTGATTGGCAGTTTCGAAATCACTTTTGATGTTTCGTAACAACTTTTTTTGCGGCAATGGCAATCAATTCTGGTTCTTTGCTTTTCCATGAGCAGCACTTGAGAGTGTGCTCGCAAGCGGTGAGCAGGTGATAGAAGCCAGCTGTCTACCCACATACACGGCATCGGTTAGATCTTATCGATTTCCGGAATTTCAGTATGTGTGCCTTGGGTAGGGGTTTACGAGTGATTTTATCTGAAAATCTTTGATGTCTCCCCAATCAATGTCCACGTTTCTTACTTCGAAATTCTGACCACTAGATGGAGTCGTTCTTTTTTTTTATATAAACACGTTTGGGAGCCCAAAAGTCCTCAACCTCACTTTCCCCATTAAAATTCTGATGTTTTGTTATTTGCTGCAGAAGTAAGTGCGGCGAAGATGCCTTCCAATCGCTAAGTAAATTATTAAGATGCAGGAAATAGTCCTTAGACTCAAAGAAGAGGGTATTGAACTGTTACTTAATATCAGTCCTCTTATGAAGAAGGAAAATAAAGCAACAGAAATGTGGTTCTACAGAAGGATGCTGAGAATACCATGGACCGAAGATGTGAGGAACGATTACATTTTAGAGAAAATGGAAACGAAAAGACACCTATACTTAACATCAGAAACATTTGGAAGTTCTACGGCGGATAATGAGGAGAGGAGTTTCGGAATATTTGGTACAGATAGGGCAGATTGGTTGGATGGTTGATTTTTGTTTGGTGGCAATTCTCCCACAATAGATTATTTGATATTGAAATCTAATGCATGCATTCAACCACAGATAAAATGTATTAATGGTAATTCTACTATAAAATGTATTGCTAGTCATTTTGCTGTAAAAACGTATTGTTTGGAATTTTATTATAAAAATGTGTTTTTGTACTTTCATAGTATTTCTGTTTTTGTTTGGAGGTGCCATATTTGCTCTACCTTGTCTCGTTAACTACAACTATCACCCTCCCTGTTAAATTACAAAAATTACACTACCCATCAATTTCTAATCCCATTTTTTCCTTTCATTTCGTTGTTGGAAGTTTTACCTGATGATCCGGTGTCCTTTAAAAAGAATTTTGGTGAAATAAATTATTGTAATGGTACCTTAAAGTCGTCTGTTTTTTTCATTAAATATATATATATATATATATATATATATATATATATATATATATATATATATATATATATATATATATATATATAAAAAAATATGTTGATTCCATATTTTACTGATTGCCTTTGGCATATCACTATTTTTGCGTTTGGAGATTATTATTTATTAAATCCTAACGCCTCAAAAATACAACACTTTTCTTTGAATCGTCTTAGAAAATAGATGATGTTAATCTCGAAGACAGTAACTCTTTGGGCATTCGGGCTTACGTTTTCCACTGACATGAAATGGAACGATTATTCATTCATTCATTCATTCATACGTTCATTCATTCTTCTTCTTCTTCTTCTTCTTCTTCAACTTACATCATGTACATTCGTTTTCATTCATTCATTCTTTTCCTTTATTTTTTCTTCACTTTTTTGTCTTTTCTTCTTCTTCACCCTCATTCATTCATTCATTAGTCTTCATCATCCTCATCATATTTTTCTTCTTCTTCAACGTACATCACGTACATTATTTTTCTTTCATTCAATCTTTTTCTTTCTTTTTTTCTTCTCTTCTTTTTCTTTTCTTATTCTTAAACCTCATTAATTCATTCTTCTTCTCCAACGTACCTTACGTACCTTCTTCATTCTTTTTCTTGTTTTTCTCTTCCAGTTCTACTTCTTTTTCTCTTTCTTCAACGTACCACACGTCCCTTCTTCATTCATTCATTTATTCTGTTTCAAGTCTGCGGTAAGACAACTTGGCTCACTATATCATGCTAGACAATTTTTCTCGATATAATCTCTTGCTTCTAACCTATTCATCTGTGTATTGAAGATTGCTGTTACATATGGTCTGGTTTTATTGCGATGTGTAGAGATTCTCGCCGAAATTCAAAGAATCTGGTATATTCCCTATCCTAACCGGCTTCAGTCACTTTCTCACTGCCGTGACGTAGAGAAATGGTTTCAAGACAAGTTGGATTGTAAAGATAATGAGTGTTTTTTCCTTGTTCTCGTATTCCGCAGGTGTTTTTAGCCTGTGAGTTCTAAAGTTGTTGGAACCACTGAAACAACTATCTCTTCGCTCTTTACAATCAGAGGCAACCTGCATAAATGTTTTATATGGAAAGTTAACTGCTTCAGCTTTGGTCTTCAATTTACCATTAAGTTATATATATATATATATATAGAGAGAGAGAGAGAGAGAGAGAGAGAGAGAGAGAAAAGAGAAAGAAAGACTGAGAGAGAGAGAGAGACATATAAATGTTTCTTTTGTTCGCTTGTATCTACATTTGCGTGTATGTGCACGAACGTAGAGGCAAAGTCATGAGCGAAAGAACGAGAAAAATAAGAAATAATGAAAGGCCAAATTATTAATTTATGGCTAAAATATCACGACGCGCCCATCATAAAACTACAAATAAAATGCAAGCAGGTGAAAGAACGCTTGTGAAAATCAAAGAGAATCACAAAATGACAAAATGTAAGGAAAAGCTCTCAAAATACGAACTGATAGCAGAGAATAGTGGCCAATATAGAAATAGATGGAATAATATTGAAATGGGTGATGTAATAGAGACGGTTACACAAAATAGTCGCTAATTTAGTAACAGGTGAAATAATAAAGAAGTGGTATCGCAAAATAGTGGTTCATATAGTAACACCAGCAAATAATATGGACGAGTAGGCCATAATATTTGCTGATATAGAAATAGGTGAAATTATAGAAACTAATATCTCACAATAGTAGTTAACTTAGTAACAGTTTAAATAATAAGGACGTGTAGTACAGAATAGTTGCTAATATTAAAAT